GATGGCCCCGCACGCGGCGAGCAGCGCGGCCGCCACGCACACGGACGAGGCGGCGCTGGAGCCCAGCCCGGCTCCCGTGGGCAGCTCGGACCACACGACGATGTCCACGCTCGGAACGTCTCTGAAAGGCAAACACAGGGGCGACCTGGAATTCCGTCTTGAAACAACATTTCTAAAGCAAAGGGTGCCCATTAGGAGCGATCACAGGAGAAGCTGGGTGAAAATTGGCAACCTCAGCGCACGCGGAGGCACCGGCAGACACGGGCCTCAGCAGTGCCCTGTTAGCACAGCTGAGCAGCCTCGCTGAGCCATTGTGCTAGAACAAAGCCCTGCTGAATCGGGGCTGTGATTAGCACAGCTTGTCAGGCTGCTAGCAAGGGCACTCAGTAACCAAATACTTCTGCAGCTCCACAGAGAGACCCTCCAAAGATTGTTTTAAACGTTGTTGTGACCATAGCTGCATCTTGACGAGCTGCTGGGGAAGTGAAATGCACACACGTGTTTGTGTCCAGGGGCTCCTGGTCTCCCCCCTCTCAGGGGCTCTCCCTACCAACAAACCTGGGAGCTCTCCCCTGGCTGGGCAAGGACACCAAGGGCTCCATTTCAGGGCAGGCGGATCAGAGCACTGGTGCTACCAGCAAGGAGCTCGGAGACAGCAAAGCAGAACACAAGGCAGCTAAAAATTGTAACCTTCATTTCCTCTGCCCTGAGTGCTGAGCCCAGGCTCTGGCCTCATTTGCAATAGCAGCCAGTGCTCTATCAGCCTCCATCCTCAGTAGCTTCTCAAGAACTTTCAGCAACATCAACATCGTTGGTCAAGTGCAGATACTGGGAGAGCCCCAACCCACAACTACCCCCAGTTCCCGTATTTTGAGAGAGATTCAGCCCACCAGAGAGAACAGACATAGCTCAGACATTTAATTAAAGTACGTTTCCATGGTAATTTTTCTAACCTAATTCAAGATGAGATGAGCTGCCTGTCAGGGACGGGGCGGCTGTCTGCCTGTGCAGGAAGCGTGGGACTTGTGCACCTCCAAGGTAGGTCTCTAAAGCAGAGTCTCCCCCAGCTGCTGGGAACACCTGGCAGCTCCCCTTCCCTAACAAGCACAGCTTAGCTCTAACAAGTTGCTCCTGGGGTGCTGGGAACCCAAGTGTGGGTCTCTCTTAATTCCTCATTCCACCTCACCTTGTAAAAGCAATTAGCAATTGTAAAAGCAATTACCGATGCACAACACGCAAGCTAGCACGTTTATTTTAGTGCAGGAAGGTAATCTTACCCATACTTAGCTGAAATAGCCAGGCACATATAGAGAAAGGCAAGAGTAGCAAGGCTCTCTGGAGCTGAGGACTCGGCAGAGATTCCAGCAAACTCCCTCAGTGCATCCAGCTGCTCTACACTGGGGGATTTAGATTCATCAAAGTCAGCTGCAGAAGCAAGCAGGGCAGAATTTAAACACTTAGCAACCAGTGAGTTTTTAGACTTGAAAGCAGTATTTACAAGAACAACATCTCCTGTTACAGTCGGCGCAGCAGACTGCGCCAGTCAGCATGTCTCGTGTACAAAGCCAAAGACTCAAGATAAAATAAAAACAAAATCTCCACCAGCCGTGCTGAAAACCCAGCGTTTCCACATCCCCGCACCCACGCTGTATTCCAGCGATTCCCCCCTTGCCTGCTCTGCTCAGCATGCCCATCCATCATTACACAGAGCCTGGCAAGACAAAAACTCTTTAATAAAAGAACAAGGAATATTCTGATGTGCTTCACGCAGAAGCCGGGAAGCCAAGCGGATGCGAGCAGGTATGGGCACAGACAAGTTTTGGCCTGTGCTGCGAGATTGCCAACGTGCTGACACCTTGTTCTGCCTTCTGCTACGCCAGCAGCGCCTGCGAACACCGCAGGGATTAATGCCAGGGCCTCCACGGGAGGGTGGCACAGCTGCCTGGCAGGCAGTTCTTTCCAGTACTGGATACGGCAGAAATTCCAGCAAGGACAGGCAGGAGCGGAGATGGAAAAACAGGCCCCATGTCCCAGCTTCCCCAAGAGCCCTCAGGCGGGCTGGTTTTAGAGGCTCCCTTCAGACCCGCCACGTCCCTGTCCGGGTCCCAACTGCCAGGCAGGGCTGGAAAAGCCCCCGGGAGCCAGGGGACACAATCACAGCGAGGGCCCCGTGCGGACCCGCGCTGTGACGGACGGGACCCGGAGCGGGTCGGAGACGCCGGGCCCCGCGGCCGGTCCCCCC